AGTATTAGCCCTTCTAATCCATTCATTCCTCTGCCATTAGAGGAATTATTCTAAAACTTTTTATTCTCTGACTTACAAATCACTGGCTCTCTAATGGACTTTTTTCCAAATAACTGTAATATCTTTTGAAGCCTTTTATGATTTGGCTCCTCCCTACCTGCCCCATTTCCCATCAGTCCCCTGCAGCAGCATCTTTCAACCATACCTGATTCCTATACTTGGAATTGTAAGTAGGCATCATGTGCTTTCTGCTTTTGCTCTTCTTGGAATACATGTCTTTCCTGTGTGTGCTCAGTGAAGCCCTTTTTATATTCCTAGACTCAACTCCAGCATAATCATGTCTTCTAGGAAGCCTTACCTGATCTCTATCTTTGAATCCCCGCATTTGTATACACCTCTATTTTTGGCACTTAGAATACTGGATTGTAATTATTTGCATGTTTGGCTTCCCTCTATACCCTGATGTCCTTCAGGTCTGAAGTTGTGGCTTAGTTGTCTTTTAAAGTGCTAAACGAATGTTACTATTTTATGCCTAGGACATATAGGCATTCCAGAAACTATTTGTTGAATGACAAAATGAGTGAATAACTAGAACATTACATGCTATATCTTTTTGGACTATATCTTTGGGAGCAATTATTGACTGAGAGAGAGGTTTGATTAGTAACCTTGGGGCTGAGAAAAATTTAATCATTTGTTAGAGCAACTATTGCTAGGCACTCTTCCTGTTGCCATAGCTTATGGGGCATTGAGTTAGTTCACAGGACGTTGAGATATAGAGAAATTTAGTAACTGGGACAAGTAAGTTACTTGACTAAGTAAGCAGTATAGTTGGATTTGGAATTCAGAATTCCCTGACTTAAGAGCGAATGTTCTTTTCTCAGTGCTGGAAAATTATCAGAGATAGGGTTTGGGGGAGGCACTTTAAAATGAAGGCAGAGAGATTAGGGTAAAGTCCCATTTGAAACCATAACTTTTCTTTTTGCTATAGATTCCAGAAATATCTAGGAGATATTACAGGAGAGGCAATGTTAAGTTCATGCTCTTAGTAACTTTGAACCTAAATGAAAGAATGAGTGAAGAGATAATGAAGTGGAGGGAGCTAACAAAAATTAATCAAAACAAGGAGAAAGAGTTGATAATAAAAATCAGATTACAGTAAAGGGAATGCTAATATTCATTGAATATCTACTGTATGCTGGTCTTGTAGATTTATCATTTCCTCATCAATTCTCACAGCAAACTTATGAGATCAGTATTATTTTCTCCATTTGCATGTGGTTAAAGTCTCATGGATACTTTAGATTTAAAAGAGGTTAAATATCTTGCTCAAGATAATGTAGACAGGACTCATGGAGCTTAGGTTCAAACCTAGTTCTATATGATTCCATCTCGTGAGGAATGGAGATAAATTTCCTTTGTACCATCAGATATCTCAGTGCAGCTGAACTCTGAATCAGTCATTATAATGAATAACAAGATGTTATACAGAGGAAAAATCAGTTTAACCAGGTGGATCCTTTGTGCTGGCTGAATTGATAATTGGTTATTTCTATACATTCGGAAGGAGTATAAGATAGTTATGATGTCTTTTCTTGGGAATTCTTCCTATTACCTTAACATTGAGAGAAAGTATCAATCAAATATGGTAAACTTTAATAATCCATAAGGCTCAAACATTGACCAATTAGATGGATTCTCGCTATAAACATCTGGGGAGGCTGCATTATAGCCCAGTATCAGTCTAGTGGTCTAGATCAGACAAGTGGACTAGAATTGTTTAGAGGCTCCATTATCTGTAAAGCTGAGAAGCAGAATTTTTTTTTTTAATCATGTATTGTGTTGTAGAATTATTCTAGTACCAGATTAATTTGTTATATATGCTAAACCAATTAGCATTTATAGTGAGAGTGACATTTAAGGAAAAAGAAGGTTGTTGTAGAATAATGAAAATCTCATTTACATGATATACCTACTACCTCGCCTAAGACTCCAAAAACGCTTTACTAGTTTGATATTTGGTTTCTCATTTTTCCATCTGCTTGTTCATTTTGCTCATTTTTTCACTCTGTATTCTTTGATTTTAAGACTGTTATTTCTGTCAATTCTGAGAAAGGATTTTTCTTTTTAAGCTATAGAATAGGGATAATCTGACTGTAATCAGTTTAGGTATGAATTACTTACTTACATATCTGACTTCTGTACTAAGCTCTAAGCTATTTAAGGGTAGGGACAATTTCTTTTTTTTTTTTTTTAAATCTCTCTGCCCTCCAGTGTCTAACGGAGTACTTCATTATATATTTTGGTGACTGAATTAAAGAACTCAGAATTCAGTCAGCCTAAATGTATGTTTTTTGCAGTTCAAGCCTGCAGTTTATGAGTTTCATATATTCCTTCAGTGACCACGTAATGAGCTCTTAAAACCTGTAAATGGCTGTTTTAGAGATAGGCAGTAGACCCTAAGATGACTACAGAGAAGAGAGATTAAATGCTGGGACCCCACAGACAGGAGAAAATCTTTTAAAGGCTGCTCTGTTGTGTGGTGTCATATCATACTGTTACCCTGAGGTGTAGGGAACAATAGATGTTTGAGATTGGTCGGGTTTGTTTGGGGATCAGACTCTGTAGAGATCCAAGTCCAGAAAACAAAGGATTAAAGTCTCTGCATTTTCTCTGGTAAGAAGCAAGCCAGGGAGTTTTGGAACCAGATGGAGGTAACAATGTCTTATGTCTCTTAGGTGGATGTCAGGAGGGAATTGAGGATCTGAGGACCAATGTATCATAGCATTTCTGGGAAAAAAGGCAACGTCTCAATGGTGAAGGCAGACAAAGGGCCTGGGAACACAGTAGATCAGATACCAGCAGGGAGAGGAAATCGGAAAATAAATCCTTTAGTTAATAAAAATCCAGGCTTTGTTAATTTTTGGTGTTTTATCCTGATCACATGGCATCACCTGCTTTACATCTGCTGAGCAGCTCTCTAGTACTGTAGCCACTATGGGGACTTAGCAGGGTTCTTCCTAAAATTGGGCAATGAAGAGCTCAACATGGAAGCCTAAAAGTTAAGGCGTAGTTGAGAAGAAAGTTGAGAAGAGCCTTCAGAAGAGTTTGATCAAGGAGAGATTCCTTGTCACTTTCCTTCTGTATTCCTGCCCAGGTTTCTCTTTTTCTTAAACAGGAAACTGAAAAAGCCCAGAAACCTTTCCTTGACCTTACTGTATTCTGCTTGCTTATCTCAGGCTTTTTCTCTTCATCAGATTATTTGAGGAAAAAGAAGAACTGAATACTCCTTTAACTTCTGTGTTCTTAGATTATTGAAACATGCCTCTTAAACTTCATCGTTATCTTCTTGATAACCAAATCATATGGTACCCCCATCCTCATCTTTCCGTGTTTCTCAGCAACATTTGATATTTTTGACTGTCTTTTCTTTCTTAAAACCTGTTCTTCCTTGACCTTTGTGATTTAATACCCACTCACTGTAGTGGAAGAGGGTCGTGTCTTACCCAATGCCATTTTAATTCAGCCGTTGACCAGCCTACCGTAAGTATGTGTGTGATGCCCAGCCAGGACCAGAAAGAACTGTCTAAACAAACTGAGCCAAGATTGTGAATTGCGTAGAATTGCTTAGCCAACTGGTAGAGTCTAGAGCAATTATAAATGGTTATTGTTCGAAGCCACTGAGTTTTAGGATGGGTTGTAATGCATCATTATTGTGGCAGTAAACAACTGATAGAGCACAAGGAAAAGACCTGAAGGAAGTTATCAAAGAAATAATGCAAGAAAATTTCCTGTACTGTAGGATACACGTCTCTAGACTTTAAAAGCTTCCCAAGTATCCAGCATAATGAATGAGAAAAGAACTCAAAGCTGCATCAGTTTGAAATTTAAGAACATCATGGATTAAAATAAAATTCTCAAAGTTTTGTAGAGGTTGTATAGGACAAAAGAAAAGAAAACACAAAAACAAGTCCTGTAGAGATGAATGGAAATCAGAATGACATCAAACTTTTAACAGCAGCGCTAGATTATAGAAGACACTGTTGCATTGCTTTCAAAATTAGGAGGCAAATCACTTTCAGCTTGTGTTTTTCTATTTAGACAAACTGTTGATTAGAATAAAGAAATTCTCAGACTCAGAAGGATTCAAGTGTATCTTATGTGTCCTTTCATAAACAGCTTCTGGAAGATGAACTTGTATAAAACAAAGGAAGAAATCAATAAAGAGAAAGCCATAGGATGCAAAAAACAAAGGATTTGGTGCAGGAGGGCAGAAAATAGGGTTCCTTGAAAATCGCTCTTCACTAAACTTAGAGAGCACCTGGTCCAGATTGCAGAAAGAGAATAGAAGACTATGGGAAGGATTTGGGAGAATGAAGTGTTTGGTATTTTGAACATTTGGAAAAAACTGACTGTTGACAAATGTGTAGGACTTGGAAAAAAACAGTGATAGGTAAGTGGAAAATGAAGCAAATGAAACAAATGGTAATTATTAACTTCAGAAATATATTTTTTAAGTATGGAAACAATCATATTTTATTAGCTGGCTCAAGAATAAATATTTATGTAGTCATAATGGTATAAACACTGAATACTGATTTAAACATATTGAGAGAGAACAGTGTGTATAGAGGGGAATGGGGAGGAAGGCTGATGGTGTAAGAGAGCAAAATTTTCAATTTCTGTAATAGGAATTAAAATTACAATATTGGAAATTGAGCAATCAGGAAATATCCATATAAGCTTCATATTTAGACCAGAACAAACTACTAAAGAGTCCTCTGAGGTTTAGGACTAGAGCAAATGACATATTTTCCTGTTAAGGGCTGGAAAGTAAATATTACAGGTTTTATGGGCCATACGGTTTTTGCTGTTGTAGGGTGAAAACAGTCATTGACAATTCATGAATGACTGGACGTGGCTGTGTTCCAATAGAACTTTACAGAAACAGATGGCGGGTGCTCTCTGGGTTCTGTCCTAGTTTGTGGAGACATGGCTAAATGTGCCAAGAAGTTGGAATCATTGGTAAATACAGGACTTGTTATGGTGCTTCTGTCAGGAAAATGGTGAAGAAAATTGAAATAAGCCAGCATGCTGAATATTGGTCCTTCTGTGGCAAAACTAAGATGAAAAGATGAGCTGTGGGGATCTGACATTGTGGTTCCTGCATGAAAATGGTAGCTGGTGATGCCTGGGCCCACAACACCACATCTGCTTGCACAGTAAAGTCTGCCATCAGGAAACTGAAGGAACTGAAAGACCAATAAAAGCTCCACCCTTTGAAACACTGCTAGTCTATAACTGGGTTAATTTATGTAACTACAACAGCAACGACAACACCTGATGGTGGAATGGATTTGGGCTGTGGGACATAGTTTGCTTGCTTTATGACTAGAGGGCAAAGGTGGTGGGATAGAGATAATTTTCTTTTCCTAATTCAAGCTCACTTTTAGACTTCCCTGCCTCCCCCCCCATTGATTATAGAATAAATAGAGTAATTTTCTATATTGCCTCTCACATCAGTGTCCAGTTTTATGTTTATTTGTAAAGAGTTTGTGTTTTAGATTATCTGAACTACTTACTGTCTCCAAATATTGACCCAGATAATCTTGCTTCTGTGCCTTATGCTCTTTCCTCTGGAATTATTTTCCTTACTTTACCTCTCCGCTTTTGAAAATTATATATATATCTTTCTGAGTTCCACCTGAAATAACTGCTTCTCTAAGAAACTGTTATAGTTTCTTTCTACCCTACTATAAACCCTTGTTCAGGTAACCAACCAGAGATGACTTAATCCTTTCTTTGGGAGAGATTGAATTTTGGGGTCAGACAGTTCTCAATTTGAATTTAGTATCTACTGTATACTTACTATATGACCTTGAAAAAATGTATTTAACCTGTCTGAACCTTTGCTTTTCTTATTTATAAATATTTCATATGGTTCTTTATAGAGTTAAAGTTGTTTAATACTATTTTCTTCTCTTCACTTCTAACACTTTTGATCAACCTCACATTATAGTCATTTGTGTACTTATCCCCCAACCCTTAGCAACCTACACTCAGATTGGGTCTTCATTGTAAATATCCTGAAGCGGTGCTCAGTAAGCATTGATTTGATTGAACTGAAATGAGAAGGAAATGTCTTAGTGTTGATTTGTAGCCGAAGAATTCTGGCTTTATGATAAAATTAGAGAAATTTTATATTCTACAGTTTGCCTGTTCCCTGATCTTTTTTACATGGCCTATTTTTATTAGTTCAATTCTGTTTTCTCCCACATTGCAAAGGAGGTACAGTGTTAGAGGGGAAAAGAGTGACTTGATTTTTCCTTTGATGGGAACTAAGCCATATGTTTGTATTGAGTCAGCTACTCCAGACTCTGAATTCTCAATCAGATGGTCAGCAGTGTTTAATTGAATTCCCAATATGTGCAAAGCTACACTGGGTGCTGTCACTCTAGGGAGACGTAACCATCTGGAAGAACTTGTTTTTAAGAACCCAGAATATGAGAAATATGTCTCTTCGTATCTAAATTAAAATGATACTAAATTTGGCAAAGTAAATAGCTGGCATAAATGCTGTCTTTTGCCTCGCATTCTCCTCTTTTATCCTTCTTTTAATCTCCAAGAAGAGACACCCTCCTTTTTTGCTATGGCTAGGATGGTGTACTTTTTCCTTGATTTTTTTCCTTCCTAATTATTGATAATTTGCGTAGTACAGGATTCTGATGTTTAAAATCCTCAAGATCTTTTAGTTTTTGGATCCTTTTCTAACTTTAAATATGTATATATGATGGGCAGAAACCTAAAATGCCCTCCTAAGATTTTTTGCCGTAATCCCTATGACTATGCATATGCTGGATGTTACTTCCTTGATTATGTTATGTCACATACCAAAAGGAATTTTGAGATATAATTAAGGTTACTAATCAATTGACCTCAAGACAGAGAGATTATCTAGATAGACCTAATATAATCACATGAGCCCTTTAAAAGCGGAATGTTGGGACGCCTGGGTGGCTCAGTTGGTTAAGCGGCTGCCTTTGGCTCAGGTCATGATCCCAGCGTCCTGGGATCGAGTCCCACATCGGGCTCCTTGCTCGGCGGGGAGCCTGCTTCTCCCTCTGCCTCTGCCTGCCTCTCTGTCTGCCTGTGCTTGCTCACTCTCTCTCCCTCTGTCTCTGACAAATAAATAAATAAAATCTTTAAAAAAAAAAATAAAGCAGAATGTTTTTCAACTGGTAGTAGGAAGAGAAGCCAGAGCTTGAAAACATGAAAAAGGATCTGTTACATTGTTGGTGGCTTGAAGAGGGAGGAGAATATACACAAGGGTGAGAGAGCAGCCTATAGGAGTTGAGAACAGCCTCCAGCAAGGAAATGGGACCTTAGTCTTAAAGCTGCTTGGAGTGGAATTCTGCCAATAGCCTGAATTAGCATATTAAGTGTATCCTCCCTCAGAGCCTCCAGATGAGAGCTCAACCTGGTCAACACTTGGATTTTGTCATTGTGAGACCCCACACAGAGAACCCAGCTAAGCCCACGTGGACTTCTGACCTACACAACAGAGATGTTTGTGGCTTATTTGTTACGTAGCAATGGAAAACTAATAGAGTCCAGGTCTTCCCTGTTAAGAAATGAGTTCCATTTCCTGCCTGACTAGTGGTTGGCTTATTTCTTTCTTCTTTTCATTGTTAAATTTATAAATTAAATGATCTAAAATCACTGTCTTAGTCTATATGCAAGTTTATTCTTTTCTTAATTCCCATGCATCTGTTTCTCAAAGGTCCAAAAATGACTTTCTGATGAACTAGCAACTTCTTCCTTACCAAACCCAAGAACTTCTTCATTTTTATTGTCTTTGGTGTTTTATATTGTACTTGATTTTCTTTTTCGAAATTAATACTTTTTGTAATACTACGTGATTCTGTTTTTTACCCTCCTTTCTTCCATCTCTTCTGTTGTCTTCACAAATCTTGCTGACTAGTATTGGAATTGAATTTAGGAACTTCTGCAAGGAACAAGCAAAGGTGATTAAAGAAACAAGAATTTTAAGAAAAAAGTCGGTGAAGTCCAAATTAATTTTCCTGATGTCTTTGTTAACGTAAGGCTCTTCCTAAGGAGCCAGATGTGTTCCTTGGCCATTTATCTGTAGACATTGTATAGGTGTTATATCTGTTACCTATTACCATAGTAATGTTTCCTAACAAAGTATGCCCAGACTCCTGTTTGTATGTTATATTAAAAACATAATCATCTATTATCATTCATGGATCTGCTAATTTAGGCTGGGCTCATCAGTCAGCAGAGTGGTTTAGGCTTGGTGGCTAGGTGGTTCTGCATCTCACTGCAGTTTGTTAAAATATGGGTTTGCTATGCTGATAAGACTTCATGTGTTTCTGGGCCGCCTGGGTGGCTCAGTGGGTTAAAGCCTCTGCCTTCAGCTCAGGTCATGATCCCAGGGTCCTGGGATCGAGCCCCACATCAGGCTCTCTGCTCAGCAGGGAGCCTGCTTCCCCCCTCTCTCTCTGCCTGCCTCTCTGCCTGCTTGTCATCTCTGTCAAATAAATAAATAAATAAATAAAATCTTTAAAAAAAAAAAAAGACTTCATGTGTTTCTGTCCTCCTTGGTGGAGTGATATAGCCATAGCATACTCCTGTCATGCCAATGATGGAGGTGCCAGAGGGCAAGTGGAAACATATCAGAGCTTTTTAAGGCCTGGCTTTGGGGCTGGCGTACGTTGTCACCTCTGCCTCATTCTGTTAGAGAAAGTCACATGGCCAAACCACAAACCAGGGGTAGGAGAATATATGCTACTGTGGACTAAATTGTGTCCCCTTATCCTAGCAAATTCCTATGTTGAAGCCCTAATCCCCAGTGTAATGGTATTTGGTGATGGGGTCTTTGGGAGATAGTTAAATTTAGATGAGATCTTAAAGGTTTGCTCTCATAATGGGTTTAATGCCCTTATAAGAAGAGGCACCAGAGTGCTGGCTAGCTGGCATAAGCTCTCTTGCACTCCCCCTCTCATCCCTTCTGACCCTGCCCTGTGAGGACACAGCAAGAAGGTGGCCATTTGCAAGCCAGAAAGAGAGCTCTTACTAGGACCTGGTACTTTGATTTTGGACTTATAGCTTCCAGAACAGAGAAGATAAATATCTATTATTTAAGCCACCCAATCTATGGTATTTTGTTATGGTAGCCCAACTTCACCAATATATACTCCATCCCATTAGGGGTAGGAACTGCAAAGTTACATATTTGATAAAGGTCACTGATATAGGGAAGGATGGGGAACTGTGTCAAAAAATGCCATCTGTCAAAGGCATTGAGTAGAATTTCATATTCTCTTCTTTTATCCACTCAGAGTAAGCATCTCTACTCTTTATAATCTTTTAAAAAAATTCTGCCTATTTTATAATAATCATGATAGGTTAGGTTATCATGCCATAACAAGCAACCCACAACTATCTTAGTAACTTAACACAGAGTTTATTTTTCTCTTTTGCAAATTACTGTGGTTCTGGGTTCTTCATGATACTTCTCTCCAGGTGTTGGTTTAACATTCTGCAGTGTATTGTCTATGACACCTCCTTGTTAACAGGCAATTACCATGGTAGGCTTGGAGGGCTAGACAGTAGTAATTAAATGCTTTGGCCCTGAAGTTACATGTTATTATTTCTATGTACCCAGAAATAGAGGAGACCCATGTATTGGTGAACATTAGTTATGATTTATACTCTCACCCCTTCCAGACCTCAGTTTCCTCCTTCAGTGGCAAAGGTGAGTTAAATGACTTTCTTCTCAAATATTCTACAGTAACAGAATGCCAACAGTCTTTGCCTTGCTGCTGTGGTGCTCTAGATTAAGTGCCCACCATCTCCCCAAAGTCACCCTATTTTATGACAAATATCTGTGAGGCATCATTAGCCTTAAATTAGTTCTCTATGATCATCTACTATTTCAACTTCAGTCCAAATTGTTACTTCACTTTTCCGTAAGTCATGACCTTTGCTTTAATCTCATATTGCTTTTATCCTTGTCCATTCTGCGGTTAGCCATACTGGCCATTTTTCCCCCTCACATATGTCAAACTTTTTTCTTCCTTGGGGCCTTTGCATTTGCTATTTGCTTTTGCATGTTCTTCCTCATTCTGGGTTTGTCTCATTACTCTCTTCTCAGGTTGAAGAATGTTATCACCTCAGAATGGCTTTACTGCTTTATTTAGATTAACCCCCCCACCTCCATTACCACAGCACATCATGTTCATGTCACT